CTTCTTCCTCTTCCCAAAGATGACAATTCAGCTAAAGGGAAGGAGATTTGAGACGATAGAAGAGATTCAGGCAGAATCGCAGATGGTGCTTGATAGGCTGACAAAGAAAGATTTCCAGGGATGCTTCCAGGCTTGGCAGCGGCGCTGGGATCGTTGTGTTCACTCCCAGGGGAACTACTTCGAGGGTGATGGATGAATTTAATACCTGAGATAAGTGTACGGTTTTTTTAAAAAAATAATAATTAAAGGCGCAGTCTGGAAAATTTCCGATCGCACCTCGTATACTCTGGTAAATTAGGGATTTAGTCAGACTCATTTCCTGCGAAAGGTCATCATCATTTCTCAGGAGATATTCTGTCTTATTGTAACTTACTGCCATACTTTATAATGAAAGTTGTTTTATAGCATCACCACTTCCGTGTGTTCATGTGTCCATTCTTTGGTCTGCTGAACTATTGAAACTTCTGAAACAAATAGTGGATTTATACAAAATTTAGACGTCGTGTTACTAGAGACAATTTACCTCTGTGTATCTTAATTTGTATTATAACAATAAAACTTCTATTATACTTATATTATTTTCATGTGTAGGCTGATATTTCAGTGATTTTAATTTATTTTTAGGGTCACTTTATTTAAGGTCTTAATGCAACCTTTACGTAAATGTTTTTAGTCCGCTGACATGTATATAAAATTTTAAATATCGCATAGTAGATCTTACCTGAAATTCACATTAATGTTAATTTCTACCTTACATTCGGACCTAAATTCGCTCTGGAGAATATCTCTTTGCACTGAATAAAACATAGTATGTATTCATACAACCTCATGTTACGTCTTCTGCAATATTTAAATGGAACTCCGCGACGCGAAAAAATAACGGTATCACTGTAATCTATGTAAATGGTGACCTAGCCTGTTCTGATCATTTCGCCAGTTGTCGGATGTCCTCTCGATATACACGGCATTAGATATGCCATCATAGCTGGATGCCATGCTGGCATTTCCTTGGGACAATACCCGTTTGTTTACGCCTTCACAATCCTACGGATCGCCTATTAAAATCTCCCCCTCCATGTCTCTCTGCATTCAGCAACTCGGGAACGGCTGAAATTTATAATATTTTGGAATCATATTCTTTTCGCGATTCTGTGATTTCCTTGCACGATGTACGACAAATGGACACCTGACGGTGAAACATCGTCAATCCATCCGTCTGCCTGTGATAACCAAACTGAAATTATATGCAGACCAATATATTTAATCCGACATTACAGTTGCGTGGCACTCAAACCAGACATCTAGCCATCTCTTTGTGCTCATTTGATCTCCCTTTTCATTCGCCTCGACCCATTTCCTGAGACCGGGAAGTCTTAACATCCTGATGGTCCAGTATCCTTGCTATTACCATTTTTTAGAGAGAAGAATCATGTTGTAAGTATGCGTATGTAGCTACAGAGTGACAGGGAAAGGCTTTTTGGTTATACGAGCTCGTGATGAAACGCAAGTACTCGTTTACTGCTTTTTTCTGGTATTTTTTCTCAATTTCTAGTTTTAGTACATGTTATAGGCCTACTTACTAATTCACACTGCATGATTGCATTAGTGTGAATGTCAAGGAGATATATTACTTATTTTTATGACTTAGAATGCTCTCTTTTTATGTTCTGTCCACAGCTTATAACCTTGCGTGATTGTACGTACCCACTTTGGAGGAAGACATTATATTAGAATTCTTTCTCAAAGGGAATTCGTGTGTTGAATGAAAATAGGATATCAGATTATGCAATATCAAAAGGAGAAAACTCACTGGATTGTCATATTGCTACATGCAAACGCACAAAGCTGCTGAAGTGATAGGTAAAGGACATGTAAGAATTCAATAACACTTCCAGCCATGTGATACCAGTAAGGGTGAATTTTCAATGCAGTGTTTATGAATAATGCGCCCTTCTTAACATCATGTGTCCTAGGCATATAGATAGAGATACAAGTACCCCTGAAAAAATTTGTTTTCCACTGATAGTCTGAATTACGAACTTTATGGCTGTAATGTATGTTTATTAATAAATAGCTAAATAAATTTGTAATTTGCAATACAAAATGCATTTAAACACAAGTACGGTAGAAAGTAATTATTTTACATTACAAAATATTGCAAGCACACACGTGAAAATCCGTGATAATAAGATATACTATAATATTCGCAAAAAGGTTTTCTGATAATCCCTCACACAGCTTAAATAAAGATTGAGGGCCATGAATGTCAATGGTGTAAAGTCATCAGCAGAGGATTCCTCTGATTCTTGGCCAACAACTGCAAATTAAAACACCTAAAGAGTAATTTATCATTTAACAACGCAATATTCCTTTTCAAGAAATGAACTAATTCTTTGTAATTTGACATGACCTTGTGCCCTCTAAGAAGCGACGCTGTGTGAAGTTACAGTGTTGTATTTTGTTTGAATGACGCATAATTGGGCAACACATTTTTCATTTTCGAAACTAAGCAGATTTAAATAAAATTTGGTCCAGAGGTGATTATATAAAAGTCTGTGGGAAATTTTTAATTTTGTGTAGAGTACGTGTAGTATAAAAAACGAAGATTAAATCGGACTTTGTAAATTAACTTAAAAAGGATCACAGCACAAGCATTATTCCACAAAATAAAACATGGATCGAATTTAGGCTCAAAATTTATATTTTAAACATTCTTAGATATGATGAATATGCAGAAATTTGAAGAAAACAATTCATGGTCGATAATATCGAGGGTGTCCCAAAAAGATGTATACAGATTCGAAAATCCATTGTTCTAGCCGTTCGTCATCGGTATGGATATGAGGACATGTGGTATCAACATTACCATCGTGATTTCAGAGCATGTCTTGACAACACTATATCCGAACGATGGAGAGGACGCAGAGGATCTGTTGAGTACCCCCACGATTTCCAAATTTAACCCCGCCTGACGTTTTCTTGTTACGTTACTTGAAGGGCTCGATGTGCAGCACAAAACCAGGAACACGTCAAGAGCTCCAGCAAAAAATTGAATGTTCGTCCGCAACCGTCTCAGCAGCAACTTCGCTCATAGCCGTCAAAAGTGCTACGAAGGCAACGGCGATTATTTTGAACACCTGAACTAGATACGCTAATTCACCAAGTTCCAACTCTGACTTATGTCATGTTCAGAGTATTAAAATGTCTTTATTGTATTCATGGAATTTGTGCATACATCTTTTTTGACACCCTGCATTAGTTTAGTTACTATATACAATAAAAGATGGGAAGAACATGTAAATAGAAATGCTGAAGAAATTTGGCTGAGAATAATAGTCCTATGTATTTGTTCCTATATTGTCCTTTTCTTCTTTTTGAAAAGAAATATGTAAAGAAGGCTTTCTGCTGGGTTGTTGTACCGTGTAGTGTGGTAGAATTTTAACAACATTTTAGAGGCGATCACCCTGACGATGGGGGCAGCAAGGACTTCTGAAATGTTGGTAAACTTCTACAAAACTGCACGGGACATCAACCCAGAAGACAGCCATCTTCTTACTCACCACCGTGAAAACCTCAAATGCTGCTAAGAAATGTGTAATGTTCTGCCATTATAGACGTGACCGAGTTTATATTAGTTTTTCACACAACTGTCTAGTCGAAAGTTGCTTAAGAAATTTCATGTTAGTTTGGAACTTGAAGTTTATCAGTACCGTCAGAAATTAGAACCATCTGATTGTCCTGAGGGGCTTTCGACGCAGATAATATTTCCAGCAGCCATTTTGTGTGATTGAGATCCCTGTCGACTAGATCTTCCCTTTTTGTCTCCATAGGCTAATTTCAAGTCTGTAGAGATATCTTCGTCGCGTGTCGCGGCATAGTGTGTCGTGTAACTTACTCATATGCTTTTAGTTCGTGATAAGTTACATGTGTACGTCCTGCATATTCAATGAAATCTTCTCGGGCAATCAGCCCCATCATCAGGGTTCTGATGTCAGAACCCTGATGATGGGGACAGAATTGGTTCCCGAAACTTCGGTTTAGTACGATAACCAGTTGACGCGGCTGATTGCCCGAGAAGATTTTATTGATTGTACTCGCCGCGAAAGTCTCGAATCATATGTCATGCATATTGTCTTCCTGAACGCAGGGATTCTGAGCGCCTGCTATTTTCTTCACTGGTCGTGAAGGTGAGCGTAGCTCAATATCAGGTTTTAACCACAACGCTTTTCGAGAGCAACTTAGCAGCTAGCCGAATGTTTAATGAACGCACTCACTTTCTCTATCGCTTTCTGTTTCCATCGTGTGGTTATCCGTCGTCTGTGGCTGCTTCTGTGGGTGGTTCTGTTGATGTGTTTGGCGATGTTCATGTGTCGTTGAAGACGTCGGTGTAGTAGTGGAGGAAGTTGTTGCTGTGGCCTGCGCCCTCTGCTGGAGCAGTGTGATGACTAGACAACTGAGCAGCCATCCGCACTGGGCACTCAACATGGCACAACAACCTGCAACACACACACTGACTCGTTGACGTCTATGTCACAAAATTGAGTGAGGATTATCCATTTTTTTACCACTCACCCATTTATTAAATTAGAACATCCGCCTATCCACCCAACACTTAGCCGCTCGTTCATCCGCCAACTCACCTACTCACCCGTTTGTGTCAGTGTTAGATCTCAACCCAGTCGTTTACTTCACTCTCACGTTCGTCTGTTTATACGCGTAGCGAAAATGACCTCCATCCAGTGTCCATTCATTCATCCATTTATCCCTTATTACACGCTCCTACGCATCTATTAATCCACTCACCCGTTCAAACTTTCATGGTGTCCCATGGCGTAAAGTCGATACGTGTGCAGTGGTATTTACGAGAAAAAGCGAACTTCCGAAACCAGTGAATGAGCGTCCGATACTGTGAAACGTTAACGAGGGAAAGGTCATAAGTAGAAAAGGCAGGCAACATTCCAACCACCACGAGTGTCCGTAGAATATCTCATCGAACGATCGTGTCATAAATGATATATAGAACAGTCAGACTTCGCGACTGTTATAATATCTCATTCCTTGTATTTCGTCTACCGACTAGGTGATATTTATGAGGGAAGAATAGAAATTACACTCATTGGAGAATCCAAATCAAACGAAGAGATTCATTTTAAAAAACAACAAATTTTCTTTACCTAGTGCTGGATAACTGATGACAAACTTTGCGGACCATTTGTGTTTGAACACCGCTTAACTGCTGAAATATACCGAAACATCCTTGAAAAACTGCTGGAAGATGTATCACAAGCTGTGTGGTTTCAGTACGACGCTGCTCCAGAAATTTGTCAATACATTTGCGACAGATTTTAAGCCATCGGTTTTAAGGTTAATGGATCGCAAGTCTGTCCGCCGAGGCTGCCATATATGATTCCTTTGGATTATTAATTATGGAGGAATATGAGAAGCCTAGCTAATGAACCGAAATCGCGGAAGTCGGCCGGCATCTGTGATGCCGCAGAGCGCATCAGAAATGACGGTGCATGCTTTGCAGAGCCACCAGCTCTCCTTCAAAGAGAGACAGAACTCGACTGAGAGAAGGCGGTGGCCGCTTTGACCAGTGACTGCAATAAGTTACTGCTTCAGTAAAAGTTACTTTCTCTGTTTATTTTCACCAGCAACTTCAACATCTTATATCCCATTTTTCATGTACCTCATACATGCTACATGCCTACTTTGTTACTACGCACTTTATTTGCACGTAAATTTGTGTGTAATGCTCAAACCTATGCATTTTACTGGCGTTACATACACAATGAATACTTAATGCAAAACTGTAACTCGACTCTAAGGGATTTGAAGAAAGCAGGTCTAGCTTTTTCTGAGATTACTTTGTTTTGCATTAGTTAACATTACACAAAAACTGTTTGTTTTTTCTAAAGATAATAGGTAATATATAATTTACATTTACATGTAAAAGGCATAGATTCTTTCTTATTATGCGTTCCTTTAAGGAAGTGTGTGAAATTAACATATTAGTAACGTTAAATGACAGAGTATTTGAGATAAGACATTACCACTTTGGTTAATTGGCGATAGTGGTAGTGGATACTTTATCCTAAAAAAAGATGGAAGTGACACATTTCTCCAACATTTTATTAATTACCCACAAGTCCACAAGGCATCACGATACATAACATCACACTACACAAAAATATTGATCTACAAACTTGTAAGAAGTTTTCTATTTCGTTGAGTATTTAGACCTAAAGAAATACTTACAAAGAAAATAATTTATTATTCTGTGATGTGCGATATTTGTAGTGAGAATAAATACGCGACAATAGACATGTATCTGCAACAAATCGTTTTGAAGCTAATGATGTGTGGGGATTAGCAAACAACTGAACTGAAAAACATCGTACGCCAATGAAGTACATCTTTTCACTCTTACTAACTGAGTGCGTTGCTTTCGTCCATGTGGAAACTTTGTAAAAATGAACCAGCGTAAATTACCATTATCGTCGGCCGGAACTGCAGGCCTAGAGCGCAGGAGTTTTAGCGGTTTTTCATCGCGATGCCATCCTGTTACGTCTCTCTCTACCACGAGCAGAAAACACTAATTCTTTAATCATTGTCTGAAACAGGACACAAAATTTTGTCTAGAGGTTCTCATGGCGGTGAGTCTGAAGGTGGCTGTCTTGTGGGTCGTAGCGCCGTGTAGTCTGTTACAAATTCACCATTATTTCAGAGGTCCTTTCTGCCTCCGTGATCAGGGCGAATCGCCCTGATGATGGATGCTATCTTAGGTCACAACATATTTAAAAATAAATGGGTAATGATTAAAGTTGACGGTGAGTGAAGTCGCCATGCAATTGTTTGCAACAGCGCATGTTGTCTCCATACGTTGTTTTTATGAGATTAAACTAATTATTCTACTGAATTTGGTGCATTTCTACAAAGGAGAACTGGAAGAAAGGGGTATTTAGTTTCATGTAAATAAAAAACTGCAGTTCATTTGTATCGATTTATAAATTATACCTGCCTTAATTTCAGTTCCATAGAGAAATAAGGTAGCTATAATATTAGATAATTACTGAAAAAATATAGAATAGAGAAGAAGCGAGACATTCAAATGTCTGGAAGGGATAAAGTGAACACAAAGTTGATGTTGAAGATAAGTGGTAATGAATGCTTACGTTAGATTCTAGAGTATGAAATACTAAAATTTCTTGATCAGCACAGATTTTTTCCCACCAGGCATAGTTTAGAATGTTCAGCCGTAGTTAAATTCTGAAATCAAGATGTCATTTGCTGAGCGTAAAATTCCTAATATTGCCTAATCATGTAGTTCTTATAATAACGAAGTTATTGTAATAATTTAATATCTAGTGTCAAGTAATAAATACTCGTGTGTGACAAAAATGAAATAACGAAAACATTAATCCATTTTCATAACGTTGACTTAGTTGTAACAGGTGGCTTAGACGAATAAATTTAATTTGGCGCTGCCTAACCCATGAGGCCACATTCATAACAGTTAATTTCTTAGCATTCCGTTAGCTTCCCCACTCTTGAAAGTGCGAAGTTTAATTTTCGTGGAATGACTGAATCCTGCCTCGTACTAAACTGTAAGATTGTCTGTGTTCTTATCCTTACGGCTTGTGCGCATTTAATGCGGTTAAAAGTTGGCGCCGTGACCCTATTCTGTCGTTTCCCTCCATCTTTGTTAAACAGCTTTCTCATATTATGGAACTTATTTAGAACAACTTTCGTTACGGACGTAACTTTCTCTCAGAAAGCGGCCGTAAATTTTGAGGAGGGACACCAACATCTGAAGTGGAGTGAAGTGGTTAACATTTGTGCTTCAGATTCTAGAGTTTCCAAGGTCATATCTCGGCTCGGAGACCGGCTATCCTGACTAAGATTTTTCTTAGTTTTGCCCAATCCCTCCAAGTAAATATAATAATATATTAAATAAGTCACGACCATGTAAGATTTGAGGTTTTCACAGCGGTGAGTATGAAGGTTTCTGTCTTCTGGGTTGTTGCGCCGTGTAGTATGGTAGATGTTTATTAACGTTTCAGAGGTCATACTGCCTCCGTTATCAGGGCGATGAGTATGAAGATTTCCGTCTTCTGGGTTGTTGCGCCGTGTAGTATGGTAGATGTTTATTAACGTTTCAGAGGTCATACTGCCTCCGTTATCAGGGCGATGAGTATGAAGATTTCCGTCTTCTGGGTTGTTGCGCCGTGTAGTATGGTAGATGTTTATTAACGTTTCAGAGGTCATACTGCCTCCGTTATCAGGGCGATGAGTATGAAGATTTCCGTCTTCTGGGTTGTTGCGCCGTGTAGTATGGTAGATGTTTATTAACGTTTCAGAGGTCATACTGCCTCCTTCATCAGGGCGATGCATAACATGGTTAACATCGACCAGACTACACCGCGCAACAACCCAGATTCCAGAAATCTGCAAGTCACGACCACTTTCTTCTGTGACATTTCACTATCATAATTTGCCCTACCATTCGTCGCTATGTGCTCTGAGCTACTGACAGTCACAAATAAATTAATGAATAACATTTGAAAGTATCTGTTAATTATTTATCTAGGAAATTAGATTTATGTGTTAACAGAACAATACGTTTTAACATCCCCAATATCAAAAACCGCCACTGGATACAGTTACGACCCAGTTCCTACTACTTCACATACTTACAATATGTTTATGAATGATCTGTCTTAATATCCGCCTCGCACATTATTCTTGATCTTGAAAGAAAACATTTTAAAAGTTTCCACATCAAAATTCTGTGTTTATTTCTTTCTCATTATGCAAACCCTCTATGACAACGTTAGACGACGCACTTTTTGCTGCGTAATCTCACAAATTTAAAAGTTGTTTGAGCCGTTTTAGGTCTGAGCTAAATGAACTGAATCGGGTTTTTCTTCGATGTTCAGGTTGATTTAACTTTTGGGAGTGAACACAAACACGAAGAGGAGTAACGAAGAAAATCTCGTACAATGCAGAAATTACTTGGTTTAGATATATAAAAAAACATAAAATTAATTGCGGGTTCTGTACTTGAACATGGCGTTAAACCATAATCATCAACAAAGTCATAAATTAACCACATGCAATTAAAATTCTGCAAATTGTTTTCAATTTAAATTTCTGTGAACGTATAAAGTTACTGCATACTAAGGGTCTCTGTGAAGTCTAATAGAAAATATAAACAAATAATTATTCAACACGGTTATAACCAGAAAATCAAATAGGGATATCATTTGGTTTCCATGTTGATTTTGTTAAAGAATGAAAGTGGTGTGACTCAAATAATACGACATTGATCTGACACCAAGTTTCACGGAAACTCCCTACTTATAACTGATCCGAAGTTGGTTCGGATTACAAAACGATGGCATAGAGACTTGTAAATTCAGGTGACTGTTTAAAAACTCTTTACCCGTCTATGTAATTTATTTAAGTCTGTACACATTCTGCGTTTTTGGTAAATTATAATTTATAAATTATGAGACACTAAAAAATCCGATCTCTTTCTTCACTGCGTTTCATAATCAATGAAGTAGTCTCCAGCGCAACCTGGTGGTGACGTCAGGCGGGCATCTAATTTCCTTCCTAATTTATTTTCCCTTCCCGTCTGCGTCGTCTTACAACGTAAGACTCCAGTCGCCCTTAAGATTTAATATTTCCTTCATAAAATCCGCCCATTTCACGTTGTAAAAGCAAGGCACGATTATTCTATTCGACTCCATAGCGAAAATTAGTGAATCGTCCCTTTCCCGTTCCTCGCTCTCTCCATGTATGTGTTCAACTTTTACAATGAAGATTTATTGTTGCATACATATATATGACACGTTTGGGAGCAATGATGCGATTGTAACGAGTATTAATCGACAATCAATACTTGTTTCCGAGTATTGAGAAAATGGTTCACTTCGCCCTCTGTTCAACATTGTCTTAAAACAGAGCATTCGTATTCTAGATAATTTATTATTCACAGAGAGAGGCTGAACGGTTATGATAATGATCTTAGTTAATTCAGAACTAATTACTAAAAAGAGATAGGTAACGATACGAGAGATACAAGCAGATTAGAGATAAAAGTAAAGGCTAAGGCGATGAGAATCTACGTAAAAGGAATTGAAAACATGAAGTGGAGAAAGTCGTTTGTGTCAGATGCTGCGACCGGGAATTTGAGTTCTTTAAAGCAGACGGTTCTCGTAATTTTCCTGTCGAAACGATCTAAGCTACATTAGCCATTTGAATATAATCTTTAAAATGCTACACTCTAGCTACATTAGCCATTTGAATATAATCTTGAAAATGCTACACTCCGGCACCAAGACTCACAGCCTCATTAACGTTTTGAGTGATACTTTCACATCATACCTCTAGCTGGCGCTTACTGCTTACTTCATAACATTCGCGCTCAATCCTTGCTTGTAATAAATTACATTCACAATGAGAATATTCACAGGCTGCTTTTTATACTCAGTATTGTTCAGATGATTAAATTAAGAAAGGTCATTTGTCTGAGACACGTGTTTGGAGAAAAGCTTAATGTATGAATCAGTCCTAAAGGTTTTCATCGATGGTGTATTACAATCTCTATTAACGAGTTTCTGAAATCTGGATTCTTGGGTGTTTGGACCTTGTACATAGTTTGATGTTACAAAACACACAACGGTTCGAGGACAGGATCTGTCCTCGACTTCAGGTGCAGTGAATGGGGCATCTACTCTGTGGGGTCCGTTAAAATGGTCACTGGTCCAGTGATAATTAGTCTCTGAACGTTGTTTTTAAAATACCAGACGATGGAAAAAGTCCAAAAACTCAGTATTCCAAATTGCTTAGTGCATTGCCAATAAATTTTTGTCAAGGGAATAAACAGTTGACAGTATTAAAACGCATCTTGTAGGGTATTTTGGTATTGACAAGAAAAGAGTGGCTCAGGTTAGAGCACAGTAGCTTACTCTATTGAACACGGTGACGGAGGTTTAGTAGGGTATTTTGGTATTGACAAGAAAAAAGTGGCTCAGGTTAGGGTACAGTAGCTTACCTTATTGAACACGGTGACGGAGGTTTGCGTTCAGTAAAAGCAGTGACGTTTTTTGAAAATCTATGTTACTGTCAGTTTTTCAGTGAAGACCCCCAACCATGGAATTATATACTTACGTCTTGCATATCTGTAAGATACAAACTACTGTCATATCCATACGTAGGCTAGCTACTAGTAACAGCTCTGTGGTACACGATTATGGCTGCGAAATAAGAAGTACGTGCAAAATTTTGCTTTTAAAAAATATTTAGTTCTTCCTTTTGTATCTTTGTACATTTTATCAGGTGCCTTTTACAGAACTCATTCGAAGATTTCAGGCAATTTATTGTTTCTGTCGATCTTGTTTTTGTATTATCAACGTTTGTAATTCTTACTCGCCATTGTCGAAAAGAAGCTAACCACTCAGTCAACATTCCGTTCCTAAATACTACTACGAAGATTACTGAAAGTTTAGCAGTAAGGATTATCTAAACGTCAGTAAAACACTTATGT